TCCTTTGTATGGTTTGGTTTGTCGGGCCATTCTTCCAGTTCATGGGTCCTTTTTGTAGTCATCTACATCGATCTTGGTGATATGAGAATGGAGCAGAGCTAATGTTACTGAGTTGTGTGAATCAACCTGTTTATTAGTTGCAAAGATGTGCAGGACATCAGTTGGACAAAGTGCTGGTTCAGTGATGGTCTGTGACAACAAAGCTCTGTCTGCTTCAGACAACTTATCTGACTTTCCTTTCACACAGATCCGGTTCAACATCTCTGCAAAGTTAACATCATCCTTCTGACGCATAATCTCCGTTAGAGTGATCATCTGAAAGTTTTCCTGCCATCGGTCGATCTCACATGGCTCATATATACAGAGGGTCTTGGACTGTCGCACTGGTGGTAGCTGATAAAAGTCTCCTACAGCTATTACTGACATTCCTCCAAAGGGTCTGTGACTGCCTTTGATCTGTTTCAGTCTCGCATCCACATAAGCAAACAGGGGCTTTGACACCATGGACACTTCATCAATGATGAGGATCTCAGCATTTAAAAGTTCTGATCGGACTTCATCCAGTTTGTTGCCAAGTCCTTGAAATGGAGGTTTCAGACTTCGTGGTAGCTTGAGCAGAGAGTGCAGAGTTGTACCTGATATATTAAATGCTGCAGTTCCAGTGAAAGCAGTCAACAGGACAGTGGGGTTTGATATGTCAGCCTCCTCAGAATGTCTCGGAAGTTTGCACAGTATCTTAGATGCCTCTGAGTAGATGCATTTAATGAGATGTGACTTTCCTGTTCCAGCACCACTATTGATGTAATAGAAAAACTGCTCAGAATTTAGGCCACAGACACGCTTTATGCAGCAGTCTCTAACTGCATAGAATACACACGCTTGTTTCTGGTTCAGGTTCTGATACATCTGCCGTAACAGTGTGGGGTCTAAGACAGGGGGCTCTCTGACGGCTCTGACTTCTGTTACAGCATTATCCTGATTACTGTATTCTGGGACATTCTCTTGTACATTTTCATGATCTGGCTCTCGTGCCTCCAGTTCTTCTATACATTCCAACTTGACCACTTCAGATTCTGGTGCCAGATTACACCATTCATCAATCAAGCCTCTGTTCTGTTCAAATTCTTCGACTGCATTCTCAATCTCCTCAGTGTTTTTCTCATATTTGTCTCTGTTTCGTTTCACAATGTGTTTGACATACTCAGGATGGTCAGAACCTCGTAGTTGAACAAGACAACTGTTGTAGAAGGATTCGTACGTGGGGAAATGCGGTCTTTTCAGTTCCTGGTCTGATCGGTGAGGAAGGTACAGTTTCACTAATGTGCCATAGAACTTCTCAGGATATTTTTCCTGTGAGCAGCGGTAAAATCTGATGATAGCAGGTTTATCGTTTTTCCTCTTTTGCACAAATCCCATCTCATTGAGGAGTGGCAACACATCTTTACCTTTTTTCTGCTGTCCACAGACAATTCTGCAAGTAGCTGCAAAATCAGCCAAACACATCTCCTCAAAATCTGGTGTTTCAGGTCTGGCTTTGTATTTGTCAGTCAAAGATGTCATCCACACATTTTCACTTTCTGATGTTGTGTTCTCTAGGTAAGACATGGGGCGACTCATTTTCAGTGCGTTGTCATCCGTCGGTATGAATATGACACCACGTGAACACTTCTTCATTTTAATGCCACAGGCACGAGTCACACACTCCTGAGCACTGACCTCTGTCCTTTTTAGAGTAAGCTTGCATGATTTCCCTCATTTCATCACATTCATTGACGTTGTCTCTGGTGGAGTTCTCAATGACTGTTTTGAGGTACTCAGAAAGTCCAGATTCCTTTTTGGTTATGTAGCTGGTGAGATACATGATGCATGAATATGCATTGAGAATATAACTTACATCAATATTGGCATCCCAGGCTTCAAGTAGATGTGGATTATATCCATTTACCCAGCAGTCTTTTGGCTGACGTTTCAGTATCACCGTACTGGATTTGTTGATCATATTGAGGCATCGTTCATACTCATGGAGTGTTAAGTCGCATCGAGCAAGGAGCTGCTGCAAACTGAGTGAGGCAGTTTCAGGTTCATTCAGCAACAAGTTCAGTGGTTGGGGCTTTGACTTTGCCATTTCCACTTGCAGTGGATCAACGTTCTCATCAGGTCTCGTTATGATTGTGTTTCTGGCAGGTGGTTTGGGAAATCCAAATCTGCAACCCGAGCTGGGACTTCTGAAACATGTCCTTGAGTGTTTTTTGCTGTGTATTTGCACTTCTGTGACCTTCTTGTACAGTTCAGGTTGTGAATGTGGGTCAGGCAGCTGAGCTGTGATGTATTTGGACACAAAATCTGACACAATCTGATCATCATCCTTCTCAAACACAGGTGCACCCATATGAGACAGTGAATGTGTGGGCTTCCTCTGTGCTGAAACTCAACTCTGTAAAAATAGTCAACAACTTTGCCGAGGGGCTGTGCAGGAGACAAGAGCAAATCTCTGAATAATGCCTCAACACGCTTATCAAACATGCGCATTGTTGTCACTGGATTGCTTCACAGTATGTCACACTTTGCTGACCAGTCGAGCCCTTCAACATTTACTTCTTCACCTTGCTGTCTTTTTATTGCCTCAATCACTTCAGGCCAACGCATCTCAGCTGCAGAAAATGTACAAAAGAATGTGGGGGTTCCCAACTGTCTGATCATGGCAAAAATATCTCTTGTAGTTTTCTCCCAATAAGCTGGTGTTCCTCTCAGCGGCCGCATGAATCTGACTGCACCTTTATTCCTCACCAGTCTCTCGACCTCTCGTTTATTCTGCAGCATACCAGAAGTTATTCTTCGTCCATCTCTAGTCAGAGGCTTCCCTTTCCTCAACTGTATTGTCATGCTGGAGGTGGCCAAATGTATTTCAGTCACAAACTGTGCAAAGAACAAATAATTTGTGTCTCTGGCAAAACGATCATCAGTACAGAAAAGCCTTGCTTTGAAATAGCTGCTGGGTGTTACTTTAATACGTCTCATCTCATCTCGTGTGTTTTGACCTGTAGGAAACTGTACCGGGAAAGCCATCGCCTCAAGTTTAGGTGTTCTGAAAAAGCCAACTGGACTGTTTCTTTCTGCAGGGGCAACAGAGTAGATTCCTTCACTGAAACATAAAATCTCCTCTGAAACATCACATGGCTGAAGACATGACTCTAGAGCAAAACCACCGTTAGGCATGTCACCTTCCTGTTCTGCATCATCTCTCTGCTCCTCTGGTTGTTCACCATCACAAGACAACATGTCAATATCCTGTTCACCTTCAGCCTCAATTTCTGCTTCACACAGTGCACTTTTCTCACACATGTCAATGTCCATTAAATCAGTGTCATCATAATCATTCTCAGCCATTGTTGCATCCTCATCATCATCGTCATCGTCATCATCAGGAAGTGTTGGGTCACATAGCTCAGGCTCGTCTCTGATAGTTATGTCCTGGTATTGTGGATGAATGTGTTTGAGTTTATGCAGCGCCTGCACTAGTTTAGACCAGGTGACAGTCTGGAACAGCTTCTCGTCTCTTCAGTTTCACTCTCATGACCTGGGACTCACTTCTCAGTCTGGGCAACGCTTCCACTGTTTCCTGCACCTCCGACGGGACACAAACAACGTTACCATGTATCGCTCTCTGTCTACCTTTGGGAAGAGGAATAATTTTGGCAAACGCTATGCACTTAGCTATGAGATGTCTCTCCAATATGTTGAGATCACACAGTTCAGGTGGAATGTCAGCGAGCTCCAAGTTGTTAGCTACAGCGAGTGTTGGCATGGCTCCATCTTTAAGATGATTATGACAGGTGTGACAAATCCACTCTTCCTTTCTCTCGTCAGGTACTTTGCACTGTTGTTCATCTCTGCACTCATCATCACAAACATGCACGTACTTTCCTGTGAGGCATGCTGCAACCACGTCTGGATTTTTTACATAGTTTAACCTTTTACGGGGTCTCACTTCGTTTGGAAATGATGCTTTATGACAGACAGTGCACACATAAGTGGGACCAGCCTTTATTTGTGACCTGAAAATAGATATAGCCTCTTTGATCAAACTGTTGTCACTTTCTTCTGTTTGTCTATTTATCCATCTGTATTTTCTTTTTATTTTCATGGCACATCTCACGTTATGCATACTAGGATTGTTTTTATATCTGTCTTGCATTATTTTTTTCATTAGTTGTCTGTGTCTTACCCTGAATGCTTGATCATGAGCATAACGCTGAGTGATTTGAGATCTCTTCTTCTGTCTAAACTCTACGCTTTCTTTATATCGAGCAGTGAAGCACTGTTTTTTTTTCAGTCTAAAATCAGTATCGTCTCGGTACCGGGCCATAAATTGCTGTTTAAGTTTCTGTCTCAAATCAGGATTGTCCTTGTAACGAGAGAGCATGTACTGTTTTTGTTTCCATCTAAAATCATCATTTTCTCTGTATTGAAAGGAAATGTACTCTTTCCGTTCTTGCTGTAAGTCAACATTGTCTCTTGTATCATTTATTTTCTTTTGTCTAAATTCAGGATTGTTTCGATAATTCCAGCTTGCGTCATATTTTTTCTTTGCTTTATATGCTATATTTGAAGCATACTTTTCCCTTTCTTTGGTTTTTTGATTCTCTTTTCTTTGTGGAGTTTTTCCTGAGACCAATAGTCTTCTCTTCATTTTACTCCTTTCGTGTTTACTAAACTTTGACAATCTACAGATGGTTTCCTGTAAAACAGTATCAGAGAGTTCACTGGCAACAGTATTTTTTTTTGAAGAAGAAATGTTTGATTCACTGAGAGAAGCATCATGTGATGAAGGAAACTGAATTCACTTGACGGTTCTGGTTCATTTTGGTTATCAGGGAAGATGACCTCTTGTTGTCTCACAGATGATGTAAAAGTGATGTCATTGGAATCTCCTGTCATTATGGTATCAGAGGGATCACTGAGAACAGGGTTTATCACTTCAGCAGTCAATTCTGATTCACTGTGAGGAGCATCATGTGATTGGAATGATGTGATGAGGACCTCTGGTTGTTTCACAGCTGTGGTGTGAGGAGACATTTCAGGTAAAATGTTCTCAGGACGATCAGTGGCTGTGTTTGTCTTTAGAGTCGGTGAGTATGATTCATCAACAGCTTCATCCAACAGAGTAGGTTCCTCCTCAGTGACAGCTGTAGGTCTGCAGTCTGTGTTCGGAAGAGCATCATTCAGGTTGACTGTGTTCACATTGTAAAACTCCACAGGCTTTAACTCATAGTTACAGGAGGACTGTGTGCGCATCATTCTGTAGGACTTCTTGAGCCTGTCAATCATATCACTGAGACGTGTGAATGTCACCATGACAGCGGTACCAGGAGTACGTGAAGGGGGCAAACCTCTGGCTGTTCTGGAGTGTGGGTCAAAGAAACCATATCTGCCTGACCTGGTTCTGAATACTGCAATACACAACAGTCTCATCAACAGCAAAGCGTACTTCACATCTGACAACAAGCAGCTCAGTCCTGACTCCAGGTTCAGAAAGCTATCGACTGATCCAGGTAAAGGTTCTCCTAATGTGCCGTACCTAGAAAGTTGTGTCATGTCCACATAATGTGTCAACCTGCGTGCAGGAACTTCATCAGGGAGCTCATCGGTAGTCAGATAGATGTGATCCACGACCCTTTTCCTGGTCTCTTTATACATCATGTTACCTTTTTCCAAAACAAGGTTGAGGTCTGCTCTGGTGATGTTTTCATTCTCATGAAGGAATGCAAGAAGTGTTTGTGAGTTACAGGTACACTGCTGATTTCTGGTTCTGCCGTATTTAACAGAAGCCTGGCTGCGGGATGCACGGACATGTTGTTCATCTCCCAGGTTTACAAAGTCTGCATGAGAAAGTTCTGCTGCAAAAGCCTGTGGTGCACATGGCGCATAACTTTGACCTCTGTGGTTTACCTGCTTCACATTAGAAGGCCCTGCCTCGCATGACTCATCACTTTGTTGTCCCCTCATTACAATGTCTGCATATGATACCTGTGGTACACATGACCCATCACTTTGACCTCTGGAGTTTTCCTGGTTGACATTAGAAGGTCCTGCCTCACATGTAGTATCACTATGACGTCCTCTCTTTACAATGTCTGCATATGATACCTGTGGTACACATGATGCATCAGGATGACCTCCCTGTTCCACACTTCCAGCATGAGACGCTGCAGACATTTTTACTTCTCCACTGCTCTGAGGACCACTACATTCTGCTTCTTCAGTCGTTGTTGCACAGTGAATCTCATTGGACCTCTGCCAGCGCAGCTTCTGAGCTTGTGACCTCTTACCCTTCCCTGGCATTGTTGGTGTTTCAAAACTACAAATGTTATTGTTTTACTTTTATTGTAAAAACCCAAGATATTAAACACAATATTAATGGTAAAATACTACTATTATCGAAGCAGGATCTGAAGATGGTCGAAACTTGTCTGCTTTTAGGAATCAAAAGCACTTAGGAATGATAAATTAACTCACAGAAGAGTTTGGGGTTAGATGCTTCAAAACTATTCAATTTATTATACACCAAAAGAAGAGACTTCACAGTATCCAAGCAAATGTTGATCAAGAAAATCCTAACCAAGTCTGTATAAATAAATGTGGCCAAATTTAACAATATAAAGAGATCAATATTAATGCTCCAATTTTATTTTTCAATGTAAAAACTGAAGTTTATCACTGACACACAACTGAAGACAAATTATGCTACTTCCAAAACCATTATGATTGAAGCCACCTATATCTCAAATCTTTTTGTAGTAATCCAATATACTTGAAACTGGTTAATTTAAACTGTTAAGACTTCAGTCAGATTTCAAAATGCCTCAATTTATAGCTACTTATTAAGGTAACAGTATTAATAGTGTAAGAACTAGAATGTATTAACAATTTAAAGCTGACGCACTACAAAGAATAAATTTTAATTTCAAAGCTTTATGTAATATGTAAATATTGAAATTTAACACAGAATACACAATTTAAATATTTTCCACGAACACACAACCAGTAGCCTAATATCAGCTATGATCCGTTCTGAACTGTTTGCACTCACCAGCAGAGAATAAGTTAATACTACTACACTATACTATGGTTTATAATCAGAATCAGGAAGAGTTGTCGTGGTAATGAGATGACAGATGAATACTTCTGAAGAACGTTGGGTCTGCAGACAGGAAACAGCCGCTCCAAATAAATGCAGCTCCTCCTGATAGATGTCTGGATTTTATTTCAGTAGGAACAGGTTAAACAACAAAACACTTATACACACTGAATGATTCAAACAATGGATGTTTATATGGAAAATAATTTAAATCAATTTAAATAATAATGAATATAATGTATGTAGTAGTATTACTTCAACTCGTATGTAGAATAGTCAAGTGAACAGTTTGAAATGTGAAATATCTGTTACCAAAACAAACCTCTGGGTACAAACCAACAGAACTCCTCAGCAACAAAGATCAGAAACTAGACTTATTCTCTAATGTGGATTATGTATATTAACTAGAATGCAGTTCTCTTTAATTATGTTAATGTAATCATGCACTTTTACAAGAAATTATATACTTGGAAATTTACCAGATTTAATTATAAATTTATTTTACCAAATGTCCAAATGTTTGTGATAGAAGTGCAACTTCTTGAATTACCACAAAATTATGTGTATGTCTTTTTCAGTTATATGTTCAAACCAATTTTGTTGAAAAAAATCTCAAATAGTATATTTCAAATGTGTTGTTCAATGTGTACAAAGAGTAATAGTATTCTATAGATATATATGATGTAGATAGAAGATTGACAGAGGTGAGCGTGAGAGGAGAATCTCTCAGATTATTCAAAAAGATAGATCAGGTACCAATAACCCGAGGATTGTGAGTGGATCAGACGATCAGTGGAGAGACAGAGAGTGGGCGAGATGAGAGACACTCAGGTTTTCATATAACAGACAGGTTCTTGTTAACCATGGATAACCAAGCAATTTGGTTCAGTACGAGGATTTCAGAATTCAGTTTTCATCAAGCTTTGTTCAGTAGATTTGGAAAGTTAGTTAGTTTGGAAAGTGCTTTAACAGATAGAGTTGGATAGAAGAGGGATACAAAGAAGGAGTTCAAAATCAGACAGAGCGGTAGATTGACAGGAAAGATAGAGGAACCAATGCTTAGACAGAGTTGATACAAGGTATAGGAAAGACAGAGAGCCAATATGATAGAGGAGAGGGGAGACAGCAGGACACCTGTAAGACACAATAAAGACACACATTAGACAGCAGTCTGAATAACAAACTAAGTAACTTCTACCCTAAGCTAAAAGATCAGTGAAGTGTCTGCTCACATGACCATAATGTAAACACATCATGACAGTGTAACAGGTAATACTGCACAGATTTATGTGAAATGATGTTATGAAATGATATGTATATGATGGTATGAAATGATGGTATAGCTGTTTAGAAGTCTCACATTTTCACTTACTACAACTTCACTACAGTGTGTTTAAAAACCTGCAGTATTAAGTGTTTTAAGTAAAAGTGTTGATTCATATGTGAACTCACTGTCAAGTCACCACAGAGACACCAACTCTGATCTACAGTTAGATACAGGAAGGAGGAGGCCAGAAGAAGTGGAGAGAGAAAGAAATGATGTTTACTTTCCTGTCAGAAAACCAGTGTGTCACATCTCATTTCAATCTAGATCAAACTGTTATTCAGGGTGGGTCATTTAGTGTTGAGTATGTAATGAATGGATGTAATTCCTGTCGAGGCTACATTTGGATGGGAAGTCATTCTTAATGTAAACCAATGTAATATTAGTTTAGTAATAGCAAAATCATAATTCATGTGTGTGAACTTACACTTCAGAGATCGCAAAGTCACAGTGATGGTCTGCAATCAGAGACAGAAAGGAGGGGGATAGGAGGAGAGGGAGGGTGAGGGAGACTCATCATTACAGCTCATTTTATTTCCTTGTTAAGTATCAAAGTCTCATTCAAGATCTAGAATGTCCCAGGAACTTATGTTAGTCTTCAATATATATCTTTAAGTTGTTGTAGAGAGAAATAAATCACAAAATAAATGAATCTGGTATGAATCTAAACAAAAGGAAAAGGTCTAAGATACTTAACAGTTAAACACATTAAGTTATGTGTTCTATTGTCAATTTCAGTTACAGTATGCCCGTACTTACCAGCCAAAGCACAGATGTTGATCAATGTTCTCTTTGCCTAAGAGAGGAAACAATATTATTATCTTCCATGTGTATGAGCAATAAAGGGTTAAAACTAGCAGAACTACAGAACACCCACAACAAATGACATCTCTATGTGAGGGCTCACTGTGGGCTAATAATAGATTATCTAATGTCTCTGTATACTGAATATATAAAGTCATGTTCCTATAGGGCCTGCATTATAGTAATGATTACTACAGAATGATACTATCAGCATCATATCAACAAAGGTTATTTGTACATCAAGGTCTAATTCAAGCTCACAAAGCTTGTGTACAATCATGTGTGTATTGGTCACTTTTGGTTACAGATTTACACATTGAGACATAAAGTGGCCAGAATGATAACTGAACAGCTTAACTGCAGATTAAGCTAACATCAATAGTGATAAAACACTGACTGTAACATTACCACAGCAAACATTACTGCTTCATATTGTTGTTGGGATAGCTTAAGTTGGTGAAAATGACTTGTTTTATATTAGAAATAACCCGTTAATTCGCTTACTGGTTTCTTGTCAGTTAATAGAGAGATGAATGTCCCACAGGGGACATTTCCGGTGTCCTGTGGGACTTTACTTTATAAATACAATGTATAGCAGCTAACAGCAAGAGATAAATGTTTATTTCATCCCGTTTGAATTGTGCTATGAATTACACATATTTGTGAATTTAATATTTATTTTGCACGTCAAGAAAGTCTCAGATTCTCATACATTTGTGGTATCGTTCAGCTTTGTGTGAAACCGATCAGTGAACTACATCTCTGGTCTAGCATCATGTATGTCAGCTGCATGGCTGTTACCTTGGCTTGCTAGCTAACTAGGTAACTTAGCTACATTCATCAACAAATGTACCTTATCTTACATGATGTGTTTTATCCTGCTACTGTTCTTATCAGCCGGCAAACAGACAACTTGTTCATGCAAGTACAGTCTTTTTTCACAGTCTTACACTTCAACAGTTTGAAAACAAAATTATATTTTCTTGACTTACAAATGAATCTTTTAAATTGACAAACATATGTGTAATTCATTCTGAAAAATTCCGTAATCGCAGCCGCTAATGTACTTGACTTCTTTCTTTACAGGGTTTGTATAAAGGTAATAAAGTAGCCCATGAATATAAGATATGAGTTTACAGATCATTACAATGCCTACTCTTCATTCTGGAGGTTGGTTTATGGCGTTTTTTGTTACACCTACAGCTATGAGCATATCTATGAGTTACACTCATTGTCTTTTTAATTCTTCAGTTCATTTTGTTTGTTCGCCCTCTGACGTTTCTGAGAATAATGCAGCACACAGCACAGAGTATAATTGGCTCCGTACATGCTATGAACCTAGAGTATAAACAAAGCTTATGGTCCCGTAGTAAACCGGATGGAGCTGGAATTCGCTTCTCAGCGTTAGCAGCTATGCTAGCGTTAGCAATTCGCTAGTATTAGCAAGTTAACAATACAGTTTTACTTTCGTAAAATGTTTGCTCTTCTTGCTAAGTTTGAACCCTGTTTGAGTTAGAAACCACTTGTAATGTCATTGTAAAATGTGAAAGCTTCATTTCCCCCGTTGATAATTGAAAAAGAACCTCTGCTACTTACCAGTCAGGAGTCAAGAGCACAATGAAGAAGGTCTGGCTTGGTCCGTAGTGAGGATAAAATGAGGCGTTTAAGGGTACTCAGAAATTCAAGAGTCAAACAAAAACTTGATACATCATATCTTTTACTTTTCACACAAGATGTACACATCAAAATATAAAAACGTGCTCTTTAACTATAAAGCAAGAGTACTTTGATTCAAAGTACTCTTGCTTATACATTTATAAAGTATATAAATTCAACTGTGATGGTTCAAAGTCTTTGAACCATCACCATAGAAGAATAGAAGAATTTTGGGAGTTCTTTCCATTTTTTTAACTGTTTATAGAGTCAAACCTTAAATTGTTTCAGACCCCAGATTCATTAACACACAGCTGAGAGGAAAATATTGTACTTTTACTGCACTACCTTTGTCCAACAGCTTCACTTTCTTTTCAGATTAAAAAGCATTAAACTGCACTGCTGAAAAACCCTTCTAGTTGAAATGTATAACTGTCAGAGTTGGAAGCTAAACTGTATTAGGAAGCTAAGAGCTGAATTACAAAGCAGGAAAAGCTTGAAGCTAAACGATTTTACTGTCAAAGTAAAAGTAGTGGTAGTAGTAATAATAGTACTATAAGTAGGATAACTATTAGAAGGAGTAGTAGTAATAGCAGTAGAAATAGTAGTATAACTATTTGTAGGAGTTGTAGTAATAGTAGTAGTAGTGATCATAGTAGTAGTTGAAATAACAGTAGTATTGGTAGAAGCAGTAATAACAACACTAGTAGTAGTCATAGCCGTAGTAATAGCTGTAGTAGTGGTCGTAGTAGTTGATATAAAAGTAGTACTTGTAGAAGAAGTATTAGTAGTGAGTAGCTGAAATTAATTGGAAAAACATTGCTGAAAGTACAGAAATGGGAGACTACCTGTCTGAAAAATGTTGAAGCCCGAAAGCATTTCAACTGCAATGCTGAAAACCCTTCTACTTGAAATGTCTCACTATGGAGTCTGTAGCTGAAAGTATGAGGAGAAGAAGGCTTTAAAAGTTGAAGAAGTTTAACAGGATTTGAAGATTTTCTCCATAGATATCCCTTTCAAAAAAATTGCTAAAAGCTTAATAATTCAAAAAGTTTAAAGATTACAAATATGAAAAGTCATATCACCCCTCTCCTGAAAGAGCTGAACATTTTAATATTCAAATGGTTTCTGTAGCTTAAAAAGATTTCAGCAGTAGTGATATTTGTTGTAGTAGTAGAAGTTGTAGTAGAAGTATTATTAGCAGTAGAAATATTAGTAGCATTAGAATAAGTACTAGTTGGAGCAGTAGTGATATTTGTAGTAGCAGTAGTAGTAGAAGTTGTAGTAGAAGTATTAATAGTAGTAGAAGTATTAGTAATTAGAAGAAGAAGTAGTAGAAGTAGTAGTATCAGTAGTCATAGTAATAGCTGTAGTAGTGGTTGTAGTATTTAATATAACAGTAGTAGTAGTAGTAGAAGTAGTAATAGTAAAGTCAGTTTTTGAAGTAGCAGTAGTAGCAGTAGTAGTAGTACTAGTAGCTGTTGTACTAATAGCTGTAGTAGTATTAGTACTGATAGTAGCAGCAATAGCAGTAGTAGTAGCAGTTGTAGTATAAGTAATAGTAGTAGTGGTAGTAATAGCAGTAGTGGTAGTAATAATATTGATGGTAGCAGTAATAGCAGTAGCAGTAGTAGTAGTAGCAGCAGTGGTAGTAATACCAGAAATATTAGCAGCAGTAGTAGTAGTTGTCGCAGTATTAGTAAGAGCATTCATTATTTCAACAAAAAAGCCTAATTTTGAGCTTAACGTTTAAAAACAGTTAATCCATGGGGCTTTTATTTTGAAAGGGTGGGGCTGGGTGGGGGAGAGAGGGGGAGTGGAGATATAATCTTAATGTTTGACACACATAAACAGAGGTTATTAAATGACAGGCTTCATCACAAGCATTTCAGTTAGAATTCACTCTTTGGGGCTTTTATTTTGAAATGGGGAGAGGGAGAGGGGAAGAGGATGCAGAATCTTAATGTTAGATAAACATAAACAGGTTATTAAATGACAGGCTTCATCACAAGCATTTCAGTTAGAATTCATTTTGTGGGGCTTTTATTCTAAAATGGGGTGTGTGTGTGGGGGGGGGTCCTCTTAAAATCTCTAAGACCTGAATGACTGTGAGAGAGAGAGAGAGAGAGAGAGAAAGAGAGAGAGAGAGAGAGAGAGAGAGAAAGAGAAAGAGAAAGAGAGAGAGATAGAGGGAGAGGAGTGCATGTGTGTCTGAGTCTGTTTATCAACATCACTAATTGTTGGAATGCTTAACAGCATTCCAACAATTAGCTTGCTCTTCATTGAAGTGATATGATCCTTACCCAGATCCTTAGTCAAATTTGAAAAGCAAGTGTCAGGATCCCTGTCTGACTCGTTGTGTGTTACCTCTGTTTCCCCTGATCTCCTCTCCTCATGAGTTCTGTCATTCCCCTGTTTGTTATTGTGTGCCATGTGCTCTGTGTTTTTCCTCTGCCTCCAGACACCTCCAATAGCCACACCCCTGACTAGTGCACAGCTGTGGACACTCCAGCCGATTACCTCCCTCAGGCTGACACACCAGACTCAGATCCCACTAATCATTCCCCTGGCACTATATCAACTTGTACCATCTTTCACTTGCTTCAACCCCGTATCGTCTTCTGCCTTGAGCGCCTGCCTGCAGTGTCCGCCGGTCCGGGAATCACCCGTGCCCTCCGTTGTGTTCCAAGGGACTTCACACCGTCGATCTGCCTGCCCTCCGGTGTCGGACCACAGGTACCACACCGTCAATCCGGCCTGCACTCTGTGTCGGACCACGGGCTCCACACAGCCATTCCTGTCTTTTATACCAGATTCTGTCTCCTGTCTTGCTATTGGGTCCTGATCTTGAACTCCCGTGACAGCAAGACTATTTTATTTTATGGCTAAATCATTTAATACAAATTTCAATAAAAATACATTATATACAAAAAAAATTGAAATCTCAACAAGAATTTAATTTAAAATGTTGTGGGTTTGAACAATGTTTGTACTAAGTGACTGAAAAGGGCGGAAGTGATGCTTGAGAGGTTACATTTTCACAGAAGAGAAGCTGTTTCAGTGCTAAAAATATAAAAAGCATTTTAAAAAGTAAAAATGATAAAGTTTGTCAGTTACTCTTAAGACACAGATTCAGGTATCTACAGTTGTGTGAAAAAGTGTTTGCCCCCTTCCTGATTTCTTTTTTTTTTTGCGTGTTTGGCACACTTAAATGTTTCAGATCATCAAACAAATTTAAATATTAGACAAAGATAACACGAGTAAACACAAAATGCAGTTTTTAAATGAAGGTTATTATTAAGGGGGGAAAAATATCCAAACCTACATGGCCCTGTATGAAAAAGTGATTTTTCCCCCCCCCCCCCCCCCCTGTTAAAACAGCTCTACTGACACAGCCTAGATGGGGATAAAATCTGTTCAGAGCCATATCTCTATATCCAAAACATGTGCTTGGGTTCCTTCCCACTTCACAGGCATTTATTCAATTCTGAGGACATCTACTCGGAAAGAAAGGGGGGGGAAAAAACAGGTCTGATCACTTTCGGATGTTTTTTTTTTTTTTTTTTTCCAGGAGATTAATCAAACGCCTCTCATTACACAGATGATTGATATCCAATTATTTGCTGAATGATATACAGTTTTAATTAATTTGAATTTACATTGAATGAGGCAAGAATTAATATTTTTAATCCGAGGAAATCTGGTGAGCAGTGTTGATTGAATTAATCATTCACGCTTCCAATACTCTGGTTGTGTAAAGCTCTGTGATGGACCTGGATCCGCCGTACCCAGCGGGGGCGCCGTTTTTAGCCAGCTGGCGAGGTCAAGCTCATGGTAGGGCTGTGATGTACACAATTAGAGTGGACAGAGGACACAGATTACACGGCAGGGTGATATATTACAGCTCAGTCAGTCAAAATGAGACGTGCACAACAGCCTCAGTGACACCCAAAATGGCCTCTGGCATATTGCTGTGGTAGACTTTGGCTGTCTGCTGAACTGGTCTGACAGCTAAGCTGGCCAAGATGTTTAAGGCCATTGCGCTCACTGAAACTAAGAGGAAAAAGACCGTTTTAATTTATCTGTAGATGTCTTCATCTAAAAACTTCCTCTTACTATTTCAGAAAGTTCAATGTAAAGAAACAGGAGACGTAATTGTCTTGACAAGAGTCTGAGTTATCACATACTGACTAAAGTTTGCAAATAAAAAGCCATATTTAGTGTGTGCTTGTGTTGAGTCTTTTTCCTGGGGACAGGTTGCCCCAAGGATGATGGAGAGCAAACATACAGTATGCAAGTCATACTCAGATCCTTAGAACGCACACAAGATAATGTAGCTGGCTGTTTGAACATTTTAACTAAATGAAAACATGTGACAAAACTTGTCCATGTATTTATCTTCAGTAGACTGGACTACTGTAACGGTGTTTACAGGTCTCTGTAAAAAGTCTGTCAGAAAGCTGCAGCTGATTCAGAACGCTGCAGCTCGAGTCCTCACTAAGACCAGGAGGGTGGATCACATCACTCCAGTTCTGAGGTCTTTGCACTGGCTTCCTGTCAAACAAAGAATTGACTTTAAAATCCTGCTGTTGGTTTATAAAGCACTGAATGGTTTAGGGCCAAAATACATCTCTGATCTGCTGCTACCTTATGAACCATCCCGACCCCTTAGGTCGTCTGGGACCGTCTACTTTCTGTTCCCAGAGTCAGAACTAAACATGGAGAAGCAGCGTTTGGTTGTTCTGCTCCACATATCTGGAACAAAGACCCAGAAAGCTGCAGGTCTGCTGAGACCCTCAGCTCCTTTAAATCAAGATTGAAGACTTTTCTGTTTGCTGCTGCCTTTAATTGAACCCGATTCAATTAATATATTAATCAATTTTACGACTTATTTCTTACACTGTTTTCATTGTTTCAATGAATGTTCTTATTTGTTTTTAAATC